GCATTATTATCTAGCACAACAACTGAAAGGTTTAATTGCTCTAACATAAGCAGAGTTGAGATTTTTTAAGGAGCCAGTTTTACTAAAGCGCTGTAGATCTAATCTGGGTGCCTTCAACTTTTTTAAAAAGCGCCTTACCTAACTGTTCTCTGTAATTCTTGGGATTTCACATGGGAAAGATGAAACCAAGTAAGAGAAACGTTACTTGGATCAGACAGGATTGGGTTCAAACCCCATTCCGGTCACCATGGATGTCTTTATATTAACATACATCTCTGAGGCAATCTGAAAATAAAGTGTAGACACTTGCCAGGGATGCAAGAACAGTATGTAAATTTAGACCTCTAGTTGGCTATTTATTTTGTAAAAATATAATACGGTAAATTGATCTGCCACGCTTAGCCATGGGGCAGAATTCTCCAAGATGATGGTCCAGGAAGAATGGGAAATTGTCAAATATGAATTCTGCACAAGTGAGTAATATTGCAGTTAACATGACTTCTGACTCATCCCAACTTTTTACCTACTACGAGGGGGTGCTGACAAGTATTGAGCCTTTGCCAGAAAAAAATTGAGCTAGGAAGCTATAAATCGCAGGGTGTATTGGCCAATTTGTCTGTATTCAATGGTGCAAAATTCAACTACCTATGATTTTAGCTTATTTTTCATGTTCAGGTCCAAAGTGAACATGGCAGCACCTCCAGAAAAGTTCAATGTGGAAGATCATAGGACCATATTCAAGTTCCTGTTTCTCCAAGGGAAAGGTGCAAAGCAGATCCATGATGAAATGTCACAAACTATGGGTGACATATGTAACAGTTAAACATCGGGTTGTCAAATTTAAAACTGGCCATTTCGGTGTGGAAAGTGAGAAACCCAGTGGAAGGCCTGTTTCTGCCTCTGTGCCTGCAAATGTGAAAGCCATCCATTACATGATCATGGAGGACCACCGAATATCAGCCAAAAGTATTGCTATATATGAGAATATCATGTGAGAGAGTTGGTGCCATTATCCACAATGGAAATGAGAAAGCTGGCAGCAAAGTGGATCCCCAAACTTTTGACAACCGAACAAAAGAGGAAACTTGTGGAGTTATCGGTGGCTGTTTTGGAACATTTTGCAAGAAATGAGTCAGATTTCCTGGGCAAACTGGTAACTGGTGAGAGACATGGATCTACTGTTACGATCCTGAAACAAAGGAACAGTCTAAGGAATGGAGGCACAGTGGTTCCCCCAGGCCACAGAAGTTCCAAATGCAAAGGTTGGTGCAGAAGCAAACGGCAACAGTTTTTTGGGATAAGAAGGGAGTTCTGCTGGTGGACTACCTCCAACAAGGTTCAATCATCAATGCAAAATATTACTGTGCTTTATTGAAGAAATTGATGCAAAACATCAAGGAAAAACGTCGAGGAAAGCTCTCCAAAGGTGTTATCCTGTTGCATGACAACGCCTCATCACACACTGGAGGTGAAACAATGGCAAAACTGACATCCTTAGGCTTTCAAGTGATGCCCCATCTCCCTATTCTCCCGACCTGGCTCCTTCTGACTATTATCTGTTCCCCAAGCTCAAAAAACACCCAAAGGGACGATTTGGGGGTGTTCTGGAGGCAACTAATGCTGCAAATGAGTGGTTACACCAGCAGTCGGAAGAATTTTATTTGCAGGACAGATGTCGCAAGTGCATTGACTTCCTGGGGGAATATGTAGAACAGTGTGGCAGTTACAGCTTCCTATCTCATTTTTTTTCTGGAAAAGGCTCAATACTTATCAGCACCCCCTCATATATGGTGACTCTAATCTCTTCTCAAGATGTTTCCACTTTTATGTCCTTTACAGAAACTAATAATCGAGACTGCTGCATTGCTCTTATAACAATCTTTCTTGTTGCAACGTTTATTACAGCTACTGTTCAGTGATGCTACAGTGCATTCAGCCCTGCCGCATTGTCTGAAAGTTTGACATGTTCACCTGTGGGTCTTTTACACAAATGGGCAACTTAAAGGGGAAATAATGGGGTGAAAATTGTGATTTTCTAACCCCACCCTATCATAGGAGTACCTTTTTGTGCAACACTTTGGAATACAGTATCCTGTTTCTGGAAAAGGTGAGGATTACACCACCTGTTTACTGGCAAACACTGCATGATCTACTTCTTTATGAGATAGACTTAAAGGGTAATCACCTCTCTTTCCTGAGTGGCTGTGTTTTTCCTGGAGATCCAGATGTTTTGGAGACAAAAATGATAAAGGTCATTGGAAATATTCAATATACATCCCCACCTTTTGTCCAAGAAACTCTAGTCAGAAATGTACCTGTTCCACCAGACTGCTGTGTTAATGTTCTTGTGATGAAGTCTTGCTCGTGCAGAATTCCAAGTGGGGGAATCCATATTATTTCCTTGAAAGCCTCAATGTATAAACAATTGAACCATGACAGGTACTGTATTTCACTTCAGCCTTTACTACCCTTTCTTCAGTACTGGCCCTGCCATCTTAAATTTCACTTTGGCCCTGTTAGAATTCAGATGTCTCAACAAAAACAGACCTTCAACCTGTCTCTTCGTACACATACCTTTGACACAGGGGAGTACAGCAGAAGAGGTAGTACATGCTCTTTTATTACAACTATGTAGCCTCATTCATTCTGAAGCGACAGGAATTGTTAGCAGAGTGTAAAACTGTCAGTAAAAGGGACGTGGATGTACAAGTGCAGAAAATAGCCCTCATTAACTTGAAGATTGCTGTTATGTTTTATGAAAGCTTTAAATACTGACAATTTGTCTTAGGCACTTACTTCAGTCAGTCCAGCGCCTTTTTTGACTACACATAGGAAAGATAATTGACAAAGCTAAAAGGCAACATCAGTTTTCAATCCATTCTCCAAACCTAGTGATATCAAGCAGCAGTTTGAACCAGAAGGCAATGAGACTCATTCATATCCATGCTTACTAGTGGCAAATGAATGGGGAAGATTCATCACCTTCCAGACAGGCATCGTGCGTCAGTTACAGCAAATAAAGAAAAGTGAACAAATCATGTTGCACCTCAAAGACTAATGCAATTTTGTCATAATTCCTAACAGGCCAGAATACACTGCAGATGCAAAAAATTAGGAAGAGATGTGTGTAAGCCGCCTAGAGTGGTCGAAATGACTAGATAGGTGGGGTATAAATACAATAAATAAATAAAAGTATCCCTAGCACAAAGAGAAAGTGTACTTGGTTGTTGTGGGTTTTTTGGGCTCTTTGGCTGTGTTCTGAAGGTTGTTCTTACTAATGTTTCGCCAGTCTCTGTGGCCGGTATCTTCATGTCCATGTCATGAACCAGAGCACAAAACGCTGTCCTCTGAAGATGCCGGCCACAGAGACTGGCGAAACGTTAGGAAGTAACAACCTTCAGAACACGGCCAAAGAGCCCGAAAAACCCACAACAACCATTAGATCCTGGCCGTGAAAGCCTTCACGAATACAGAAAGTGTACTTATTTTTGCAAAGGAAAACGCAAAGGCCAAGCAATGTAAGAAACAGCAATAAGTGGGCAGTGTTACCATCAGAGAGCATAAATGAGCAGGACCTAGCCAGCATTGGGAATTACCCTGTAGGTGTGTATTTACATGCAGGATACAGTCACTACCAGTGTCTGAGTGAGAATTCTAGAAAAATCAACTCTCTTAATGAACTATACTGCAGCAATTTGAAAGTAGAATTGCTGACTGAAAGGTCTGTATATAAATATCTCAGAGGCTGGCTGGAGTGTTGTTTTTTAAAAAAATTCTGTACTCATTGCCACTTTTAAAAAACGGGTTTAAAGAGTGCTTTGTGATGTAACACATTGCTCTAATTACTCTTCTCTACACAGTTAAGTACAGGAATGACCAAAACTCCTTCAACATGTTCCTCCAAACTGCCATTTTAGAAAGAACAAGTAAGTGCACAGGGACTTACTACGCTAAAATACTTGCACTTCCAAGCACTGGATCAAATCTTGTTGTGCAGCTCTGTGTGCACAACAACGTCATTATCCACAGCAAATTGCTTCTGTTTAAAAGGTGATTGTGGATGCACAAAACCCATACACAATGTAATAAATTCACATGCACCTTGAAGTCAACAAAGGCACCTGTAATCAGTGATTTGCCACTGATGACATCACCACTGCACACACAGAGATACATAACAAGATTTCAGTATTTGTTACTTCTTATAAGCATCAACCTCAGTTAGCGTTAGTTTATTTGCCATCAAGTTGCTTTCAATTCATGAAAACCCTAAGCAGAGTTTATTGTAAATGAGTTTTTCAAAGATTGATTTACCATTTCTATTCCCCATGAGCTTTTATGGCCTAACGGTGCTTTGAATTGAAGTCTCTTGAGTCCTGGCCCATAGTAATGCCATTACCTGTACCTATATTGCTTCCAAGATTTGAAATATCCTAGGATATAAAAGTGCTTACTCATGGGTTTTAGGGCATTACCAGGTTTAATGTTTTATCTGCATTTCTTTCCTTTTGGAGAGGTCTATTAGCTTACTTGTGTCTACTGACAACGAGGTAAACCTTGGAGAAGCAAAGTATAGGGTTCAATATGTCCTGTTTTTATAACTATCTCTTTCATGATTGAAATAAGAGAAAACATAAGATACTCTCACTGGTCTACCTATTTCAACTGCAGGATCTGAAGAGTAGACATGAGATTTAATGGTATAGAAGCACTGCTACAGAAAGTCGAAGGAAAAGTTGTTGATAATGCTAGATGTTGTATTTCTTATTTAAAAAACCCCTGATACTGGACAAAGCTGTCTATATTCTTGCCTTTTTTAAAAAAGTATCAAAGTACTGTACACTTCTCATTTGAACCTATATGCACGTGTGGACACAAACAGTGTATGGTATCCTGTCTACCTCTATGCACACTAAATTCATCAGAAACATTGACAGTCATGTTTGCCTATTGTTACAGAATATTGGTGATCTATACAAAGCATGATCAGCTCACAAATCTACAACACCATCACTTTTATTAAGAAAGATACAAAAAGTTAGGACAGCTGCAGATTTAGAATCATTCTGTCCAACATTTTTATAAACATTGATTACAATGTAAAAGAACTCACTTTTAAAAAAATGTTTTAAAATTGGCAACAAGTTTCTTTTCATACAACAATCTACACGGAGTTTATCCTGCAGCAAACAATGCCATCCTTCCAGACATAGAAAGAGAATCAAGCTATTGAAAAGCCATGAACAGTGTTACATGTCCTGAAATTAAGAGTCATGTGTCGCACACAAATTAATTTTTACTTGAATTATGCCATCGCTACAGAAGATAAGACAATGACTGCAACTGTTCAACAACATCTCGGAGTCACACATATATCCAGATGCTGGTTAAAGTGCAAATTACATGTGTGCCAAATACTTTTTAGAAGGCAGAGCTGATGTTCAAGATGCTACCATGAATGGTTATACAACTAACCATAGACACTGGCACATTGGTATAAAGTCTAGCCCAGCTCCTTCACTTTTGACTACCAGCCAAACATGTACTCCAGAGCTTTGGACACAATGCTTTCATCTTTCCTTGGAGTCTGCCTGTCAGAAACCACCTAGAAAGGAGAAGCACATAATAAGTAGCAGATCTGAATCGTCAATAAGAAAATAGGAATTCCTCTCCTCCAGTATAAAAGTGCATGTTGCTATTTTTCTCACTATGTTCTGTTTAAATACCTGGTAGTCACTAGTTGAAGCTTTATATGCTGTCGCCAGGGGTCTCATAGTGGAGATCTTCTGTGTACTTGAAGGCTGCACTGGTGTACCTGGTGTTTTCACTGGTGGTGTGAAGACCGATGTTGGGGATGATGCAGAGCCTCTATCTGTGCTTTCCATCACACTCTACAAAAAATTCAAGTACTTTTTAAAATATTAAAGTTATCTGAATCTAAGCATTTCTTTTCAGAAGCATAACAAAACAATACTACATTTCATCATCAAAACTAGGCTGAGGGACTATATTCCTTTTCAGGGAAGAACAACTGCTGTAAACAATGATTAAATAAGCTATGTAGACATGCTGTTACATGTAAGTATAACTAAGGTTAAATGAATGTAGATGTGCTAAAAACTGAGTCCAGCAATTCCTTGAACCTTAATTTTTGATGCTGAGCAATACAGTAAAGCTTTACTCCTATCCTTAGGAACAAGTACACTCCCACTGAATGCAGTGAGGCTTCTGAATTCCCAAGACTTGTGTAATAAAGGTTATACTTACAAGAACACACTTTCTGTTTACTGTTAAAATAGATCTCTTTGCAATTTTATTTAAATACGTAGTACCCATTTAACTCCAAAGAAAAACAGATGTTGATGCCAGCTCCTTAGACTAGATTTTCCTTTAACTTACTATCCATCTCAAGAAAAGGCACTTGTTTATCAGACCACCATTATCATTCTTGAAAGGAAGTAAATACTAAAATACTCAAAACATCCTACTCAATTTATCCACCGAAATACTCACAGGGAGGTGGCTTGTACTGATGTCCTGTACTAACTGTGCCTCATTTTATTACTGTATAAGGTCCATCTAAATGTTTAATATAATTAAGGCATTTGGCAAAAGCATGGAATGGTCAGGACAGGAACATAACAGAAAAAGTGATTAGAAGACAAAAATAGTAGACTCACAGAACTAGAGACAGACACATTTTTAAATAAGATCACTCACGTTCAATACTCCATTTATGATCGAACTTTTACAACTTAAATAAAAGACAGAGGTGGGATCAAGGTTCAGAATCTAACACACTGAATTACAGCTGCACAACTTATATATATATAAAACAACTGAAATTACTTGCAGGGGCACTTTCCCTATGTAAGAGGCACTGCTAATACATCTTAGTTCACAGACAGCAGTCATAGCACTTTGTAAGTTCTGTTCCATTGTACACATTGAACAGAAGCTTCAACAGTTTCCCCACACTTTCAAGGCCATATAAAATCAACTCACTTTATCTATACAGGGTTTCACACCAATCATAATGGATTCACCAAAAATCCTTCCATCTTTACTCAACGCTTTCCGGGCCTGTAGTTTTGACTGGTAGCGAATGTGCATCCAGTTCCCAGTGTTAGACATCTGTACAGATTAGTAAGAAAAAGACTTAGAAGGGAAGCAGAAATCCATAGACAATTTTTAAAATCCATATATCTAGACTCACCACATGCTTTAATATGTTTCCATACTGTGCAAACTGTAGCAGGATATATGAAGCTGATGCTTGAGGAAACCTGTGAAACCAGTAAGACTTATATCATTTAAGGATCAGAAATAAAATGTAAATACTCAATATTAATGAAATGCCACTGGCAGTGTTCCCAGAACTACAGGTTATTATCTAACACCTAAGCTGCTATCAGTCTCCAAACACTGCCAATCCAGTCATCCATCATTTGCTTCCTTGACAGAGGTAATACCATAAGACCAAACAAGCCACTTTAGCTCAATTATTATGGTAAAAACTCAAATCCTTCTGTTTAAAATTGATTGTGGGCCAAATGCATGATTTGTGCAGGGTTTTTAAGTGTACACATAGTATAATGTTGAAGGAGATGTAACGAAGTCTGCAGGTGAAACCACAGTGGAAACTGGAGAGTTCTAAATTCTAAAGAACTCTTCATAAGGTTTTCATGGTTGCTCTACTTAAGTATAGAAACTGCTTTAACAGTTTGTTGAACACAGTGGACATACACTATAAATATTAAAATAAATTAACATTGTGGTGCAATGGTTAAACTGCAACACTGCAGTGCAAACTCTGCTCACGACCTGAGTTCAATCACAGGCTCAGGTAGTTGGTTTGAGGTTGACTCAGCCTTCCATCCATCCACAGTTGGTAAACTGAGTCCTCAGCTTGCTGCGGAGGGGGAAATGTGTAGCCTGAATAACTGAATTGTAAACCATCCAGAAAGTGCTCTAAGCACTATGAGGTGGTATATAAGCAGCACACTTTTGACTACTCAACAACCAGCACTAATTTCCCAGCTTAAGAGGAATCTGAACACAGCAGTAATGCCTAACATTCCATAAATGTTCAGCTTGCCCCTTTTGTTGAAATGTTGTATTCCATGAACTGAAAAGCTATTATTATTTCATGCTTTTCAGTATCACACTGTCCTCTCAGTCCTATGAAACTAAAGATCCCTTACCCAAACACTGTTACCCAGGTGTCATCAAGATGATCTTCTGATGTTAAGGCATCTCCCTGAGTATAGAAGGGGTCTAGCTGGGCTGGAGACATTGTGGTCTTCCTGGGCTGTGCAAGACTTGCAGGACTGAACACATTTGCACCTGTCAAATTGTAGTAATGTTTACCTCAAAGGTCACTGCATTTAAAATTGGACTAGACACTCTATTCTGAAACAACAAGCAGCATGCATTATGACTCTAACAGAGTGCTTGAGTTGACAGTCATTGGCCCAAATCCTCTTGCCTTAGCTACACAAGCAACACAAACAACATTAACTTTTGGAGGCAAAACAGCCACTGGAGATAATATCTATTACATACAGATGTGTGTGACTTAGTGTACAGCTGATAAAATCTACGGCGATTTTTTAACTTGGAATGCTTTGCCTCCATAAATTAATCCATTTGTGCAGCTACACAAGAGAATTTTTACCATTAAGCTCATCCATTCATCAGAACTGTAGGGGAGAAAGTCTTTATGAGAATCTGCTGTCTCAATGCCAGTAAAATTGGTGCCCTTCTTCCATGCTAATATGTACCTTATGCTAATTGTGGGAGAAACACCTAACATATGCTAATACCTGTGCACTAGAGGATTGTGGGAGGAACACCTAGCCCCTGATGGGGGGTCCCACAGGGCACCCCAAAACACTGAGGAGCTCTCTTGGCCTCTGGCAGGACTGGGGCTGTGCAGCCCTGTACTGAGTGGGAGGTGCAGCCACGGGGTCACCATGCCTTGGGGGGGGGTCAGGGGTTCATACCTTGCAGAATGTTGTAGAAGTGGTTTTCCCAGGGGGAGACCCATCCATTGCACTTTGGGTGTGTTACTGATCCCCATGATTTCTCCAAATGTGAGGAACTCAACTGTATAATTTGTGTTAATGGGGATTGCCCTTGTGATTTCCCAGGTGTTTTTACAATCTCTTTACCCTTTGGTTCCTGGCTGTTTTCACCATCCTCTACCATCTAAATTTGCAGCCATAGCCCCATTGGCAATGCTTTCCAAGATGGTTTTCCCCTCTATTGAAACACATTAATTACATAACACCTACTTTTTTATCCCCCAAAATTAGGGGAGAAAGTGTATGTTTATTTATTATTTATTTATTTTATTTATATCCCGCCTATCTAGTCCCTCAGGACCACTCTAGGCGGCTTACAACAGACATATAACAATATAAATAAAACAATTTTAAATAAAGGGAAAAACATTAAACAAGATGGGGCAAACACTAGGAGAGGTTTCCCTGGAGGCAGACCCTAGAAAGCTAGCAGCATACACTTTCTCCCCCACTTTTTTGGGATCAAAAAGTAGGTCTTATTTAATTAATGTGTGTTCCAATGGGAGGGACCGTCTTGTGAAACAGGGTAAAAAAAAACAAACCATCTTGCGAGGCTAAACATCATCCAGTGAAAACTGCCCATAGGAACAATCATTTTGTGAAGACATTGCTCAAAAAAAAGTCATTGTCTAGCGAATTCCACATTTTGCGACGTAATCGTCTAGTGAGGCACCACTGTACTGTTCTCTTAGTGCCCAGCACTATTCTGGGTAGTGTACATATAAAAGAGCTAAGTGTCCAAAGCAAACAAAATGAAACCACCAATCACGAAAGAAAAAAATAAATCAGCATTAAAACCCAATGGTGCCCCGAAGCAGAACATGTAAGGGTGAATAACTTCAAAGGCGGCGGCCTTCAAAAGCCTGTCAGAAGAGATGCATTTTCAGCAACCTCTAAAAAATGGAGAGGGAAGGAGCCAGGCATAACTTCAACAAAAAGCAATTCCAAAGAGATGGTTTAACTTCCAAGAAGCCCCAACCTCTTGTTGAGGATTTTCTGGCCTCCTTCAGTTTGGCCACCCAGAGGAGCACAGCCTGGGAGAATCTGATGACCCAGGAAGATGGCCTTGGGAGAAGTGAGCTGAGAGGAAACGTGCATGCCAATCTATGGGACATGAAGTTGCCGATATACAAATTAAAAGCAAGCTGGGTAGCCCAGTGGCTTCTGTGTCTTGCTGCAGAGTCAGATGTTGGGAATTCAATTCCCCACTATGTCGCCTATGAGTAAAACCAGGCAGTGTGGCCTTGGGCAAACTGCACAGTTCCAGGGGTCACCAGAAGAAGAGCATGAGAAATACTTCTGAGTATTCTCCACACCTGGAAAACTCTGAAAAGTGTCACCATAACTCAGAATTGACTGGACGCACTTTATAATAATGATTTATTTATTTATTATTTATTTATTGTATTTATACCCTGTCTATCTAGTCATGATGAAACATTTAATACTTTCCCCATGGACAAGATGAGAAAAAAAATCTGAGGAAAAGCAATATAAAGTTACCAAAGCCCTATTCAAGGCATTACTCACTTTGTTTTCTTCAACAAGGGAGCAAAGGAGCCCATAGTCCTATCCCCTCCCCATCATAAATGCCCATGCAGGGAAATGGCACATCTGAAAGCACTGAAGAGGGTTTCACAAAAATCATTTTCCACCTCACAAGAAAAAACTTGTGTCATCAGGGCGCATCTGCCACTGACGTCCTGTCAGTTGCAGGCCAGAGGTCAGTGCACTTCAGCATGTTAAGCCTATACTGGTGTTTCTACTCAAGAGCTCTGGTTTCAGAGAAGCAGTGCATGTGAGCACAAGAGACCAGCATATTAAGAGAAGAAGCAAACTTAACAAGTCCTACCTGTGCCAGGGGTTGCTGGGATCGTTCCAACAACTGGACTCTGTGTCACAGAAAAACTGGTCTGCAAAAATGAGTTGATTTGAAATTCGTTTATGAAAGTCCAGAAAATCAAATGATTGAGAGTAACATTTTAGAGTAAAAACCAATCAGTGAAACAACCGTGCAACATGAACACAAGCCTACCAAATTGCCACGAAAGTGGAGAGCTTCCGAGTGTGTCTATTTTGCTGAACTACTCAAAGAGGAAAATGCTACTTTTTGCATCCTCTGCCCATTTAGCAGCCAGACACAACACAAGTTCCACTTTTGCACAGTACTGTGACAGATATAAAGGTCAACTGCCAGGGGCAAATGTGGGACACAATGAAAGTTGCATATAATAGCCATTGACAACTGGGAACAGGAAGTTGCCCTTTTAAAGTAACAGTCCAATTAGAAATCCAAATATGACATCAATAACAGGCAAGGCAAACAACAATTCAGTTTGATGGCTGAAATCCTGCTGGGCAGGGTCCCCTTGCTCAACAGGAATGACAGAGAATGATGGAGTTGGAAGGGGCCTCTAAGGTCATGGAGTCAAATCCCTGATCCAGGCAGGAAACTCTGCGGCTGCTTCCCCTTCCACTTGTACCTTTCTCAGTCCAGCTGGATCCTCCTTCAGTCCCATCATGCAATTACATTGGTGGTGGAAGGCAAAGCCTTCTGTGCCTTTCATATGTTATCACTGGCAACAGCAGAAATCTGCTGGTAATTATGACATCATTCTCACTGTGAAGCAGAACTCCACCACAGGAATTCAGCCATCATTTTTATATTAAAAAAATATAATAAATGGTGTAACAAGCATATATGCCTTTCCAGAAATACAGAGGTTCTAGTGCAAACCCATCTCACTCTTTTTTTAACCACCAGGTTAGAGCTTAGCCTGAAAGTGATTTCAGTATTTCAGCTCAGTAAATGAAAAATACTTCAAGTATGTTATCTATGTGTACTTCCCTGCCTTTATTTTGACCAATGAACTTTAAAGAACTCTAATCTGCTCCTTTCTCAAAAGACTGGTGCTAGATATGAAATTCTTCAAGGGCCTGCACATGTGCAGATGCAAGCCATTCCTCCCTCATCACCTCTACAAAAACAAGCAAAGGCTCTTCCCAGAATACATACACAGCCTCAGAGATGCCCTCAGCACACCAAGATCTGTCTCTATTGTTCAGCCTGCTGCAAAGCTCAGTACTGTACACTGTAATTCTCCAAACTCTTAAGAAAGGATGGAAACTTTCAGAGTAAGAAGTGTGAGTAAGAAGTGTGCTTTCCTTCATAACTACAATTGTGAGCATTTTCAGATAGTTATGGTTAACAGTGCAGCAGAGTGTAATTTAACCATAATTTGCGTTTGACCAGATACACATTCTACTACATTGTAATTTCAGAAAAACTTAGGAAGGTACAGTGGTACCTCGATTTACAAACATCTCCACTTGCAAACGTTTCGAGGTACGAATGGCTCCGTTCGCAAAATTTTGCTTTGACTTGCGAGCAGAGCCTCGACTTGAGAACAAAAAAAAAGCAGGGGGGAAGGGTGGGAAATTCAAATTTCCCCTGCCTTTTTTTCGTTCCATTCAAACTGGTGTTGGCGAAGAGGCTGCTCTTTCGCCCCAACGGTTAGGAAAAGGGACCCCAGGAGGTCTCCGATGGTGGCAGGGAAGCTCCCAGGGCTTCCCCGCTGCCAACAGAGACCTCTTGGAGGTCCCCCGCCGCCACGATCAGTCCCTTCGGAGGTCTCCGGAGGCCTCCTGGGGGTCCAATTGCAGTGGCGGGGGACCCCCAGAACATCTGATGGCGGTGGGGAAGTACTGGGAGACCTCCTGGGGGTCCGATCACAGTGGTGGAAAAGGGCGGGAAATTTAAAATTGCTCCCCCGCCACCACGATCGGACCCCCAGGAGGTTTCTGACGGTGGTGGGGAAGCCCTGGGAGACCTCCTGGGGGTCCCCCGCCGCCACGATTGGAGGCAGCGGTCACTCAGCACCAGGAGGCTTGAGCCACTCACTCACGGCCGCGGAGCACCAGGAGGCTTGAGCTGGCTGGGTGCTTGGCCGCTCAACCCCAGCCGCGGCGGAGGCAGCGGAGCACTAGGAGGCTTCAGCTGGTCAGGCGCTTAGCCACTCACCCCCAGCCTCGGCGGAGGCAGCAGAGCGCCGGGAGCCTTCGGATTGGTAAGCCCTTTTTAAAAAACTGTTCTTGGTGGGTTTTGGAGGATGGGTTTGGACTGGGGGGTTATGTTTCTGTGCTATGTTGTTTTTCGATTTGTGTCTTTTTGTTTGTTTGTGTGTTTTTTTTTGCAGTCCCAGCATGGGAGTTGCTCCGTTTATTTGTATTTTTAGTATTTTTTTTTTGAAATGCTGGAATGGATTAATCCCGTTCCCATGCATTTCAGTGGGAAATGGTACTTCAACTTACGGACACCGTTCCAATATGGATTAAGTTCATAAGTTGAGGTACCACTGTATTTTCCACAGTTTTTTTTTACCCAGAATTCGATCTGTTAGGATAACCTTTTCTATAGTTATTTACTTCACCATACAACGATGTGCTTCCAAGTTCTGTAATTAAACAAGATTATAGTTTGGGGGTTTTGTCGTTGTTTTGTGTGGCTCCCCCCCTTATGTAACACAACATGAAATCAAAATATTTTCTATCCATAGACCATAACTTATAGAAAACTAATTTCCTCAGCAGAATCTGAAGTTATTCCCCCCCTTCCATATAGTAACACCTGAACAATTTACCTGCCCATAGAGAAGCATCACAATAATTCACAAGGTACAGGCTTCATTAAGATTTTTTAAAGTATTTTTGTGTCACTCACTGGTCTTCTGGATGTCAGTGGTGTTGATCCAAGACTTGGACTGGCTATTTCATCGTAAATACTTCTAACAGGTGGGGCACCCCCTTTATCTTTATGGGTCGGAACTACGGGCTGTAGAGGCGACCCACCTAAGTGAACAGAACACAACATTTTAATTTGTTAACATGTCATTTTTGTGGAATTTCTTATACTGTGGTACACCTCAATGAAAGCATTTTGTATTGCACCAACTTTTTTTCCATCTGGATTTTGCTCACATTATTTCCAGTGTGCATGCTAGAAGACCAAGATTTTGAAAAGTATGACTTTTCCTCAAGGTATCAGGTTCAACTTCAGAGCAGTGATTTCAACCCATATTTAGTACAAAAGTAGTACAGAAATGTTTCAGGTAATGCAACCAGCAACTCTGCACTTTGGGCACAAGCCACTTTCTACAGAAAAACTAAATGTCATGACATGCATAACCGACAGTTATGTTGATGTCCAAAATGGGAAGATGCTAATACATACCCGATATCCATGATTTATTCTGGGCAAATGCATTTTGTATAGAGTTTTTTAAATGAACACAGCATTTTAAAGTTAAAATGCCTGGAATATTTGCATGTTTTCTCCTATCCTTGGCACCCTTTCAAGGGTCTGTGTGCTCAAAATCTGCATAATGAGAAAACTAATGTACTACGGCAATCTGTATAGTGCAACTAAGCTCAGACTATATGCTAAAACTCAAACCTATACTGCTTAATGAAGAACGCTGCATTCCAAAAAAAAATATTGAGTAGAAAAATGAATATACTCAAGGAGGTACCCAGTGTGTAGTACAGCAGTCCCCAACCTTTTTGGGTCCACAGACCAGTTGGGGGGATGGGCTCCGTGCGCATGGGGAGGGGGCACCCCTGCAGCGCAACACACCCATGCAGAAGCGCGACACGCCCACCATGAGCGTGATACACCCTGTGTGAGCGGGACATGCCCCTGCGCGAGTGCGAGGCGCCCACTGTGTGGGCGGAGATCCGTCTCTGTGGCCCAGTTCCAGCAAGCCCACAGACCGATGTAGTAGATAGGATGACAGACTAGGACTCTAGAGCAGTGGTCCCCAACCTTGGGCCTCTAGATGGACAACTCCAAGAAATCCTGGCCAGCAGAGGTGGTGGTGAAGGCTTCTGGGAGTTGTAGTCCAAGAATATCTGGAGGCCCAAGGTTGGGGACCACTGCTCTAGAGCCCAGGGTTCAGATCCCCGCTTGTCCATGGAAACTCACTGGGGGAGTGGAACTGGTAAAACCACTCCTTAAATATCTCGCTGACCTTGGTACTTGTTGAGCAGATCTTAACGCGCTGTTCCCACCTGATGGCCCAAAACACACACCCAGAGCTCTTTGGAGATACAGTATGTAGCCACCCAGCAGGGTTGTTTATGTAGGAGAGGCTAAAACGGTTCTCCGGCTCTCTTCCCTTCCCGCCACCAGGGGGGCTGGGAGTTCTTCTCTGGGCGCCAGCCGGCCGGCTTGTCAGTTAGTACTTGTTGAGCAGATCTTAACGCGCTCCTCCGGCTCAGGACTTCAAAGGAATAAATGCTTCTTCTTTCTTACCCCTAATGATCCCGAGGCCTCCTGCGACGTTTCGGAGCACCTAATTCCATAAGTGAATGTTATTTCTTCTTTTCACTCTAGTCTGAACGAACAGTTTTGCGAGTCTCCTGGGCGACCGTGCTGACGATGCTCCGCCTATAACCGACCGCCGCCCCACCCCCGCCCCCGCTTTTCGCTGAGCCAACGCCCGGCGTGGTGTCCTGGAGAGGGAGGGAGGGAGCGAGGGAGCCTCAGCGTGAGCGCGGAGAAAGGTCT